CGTGAGTGAGTGGCTGGCCCAGGGCCACCCGGCTGGTATGTGGGAGGGCTGGGATTGGAACCCAGGCTGTGAACAGTAGCCTGTGTCCCCTCACTGCTGCCTGGTCCCCTTTTGCTGTTGTCCTCTCTTGTCTTGTTTGCTTGGGGTTTTCTTCAGTGGCTCTTGGACGGGGTGGGGGGATGACGAGTGAATCTGGTCCGCATTCTTTCCCAGTCGGTCTTGAACCTCATCCAAGTCTCACAAGTGTGTTTCCCCTTTTGGGGTGGAGTGTGGTGGGGAGAAAAAGAGCAGGGCTTATTTTGAGGTCAACGGATTCCAACAGCACCCAGTAAAACAACTTTGAAGGAGCTCCTAACTTTATATCAGTAATTATTAATAGATTTGCCTAATTTCATCCCAAATTCCACCTTTCAAGTTCTAACATTTTATTTTAAAAACTAGGTCAGAAAAAGAGTGCACGCCAGTATCACGTACAGTTCTTTGGTGATGCCCCGGAAAGAGCTTGGATATTTGAGAAGAGCCTTGCAGCTTTCGAAGGAGAAGGGCAGTTTGAAAAATTATGCCAGGAGAGCGCCAAGCAGGCGCCCACGAAAGCTGAGAAACTTAAGGTGATAGACGCTCCTTAAGTACAATCGTAGACCAAAACTGTTATTTTTATTCTTAATTATTTATCTTGTTTTGAACTTGTGGGTGGTTGAAATGTTGTAACGGCTTCTTATGCCTGTCACTGTTTACTTTTGCCAGGTGTGCTGTGCTATACAATATGGCAGGTTTCTTTAGAGACACAGGTTATCCTTTTTGCTCCTTTGATGACTCCCAGAGATCATTTGTTTTATAATTTTTGTTTTCCTTTATATATACCTATATATAAACATGTATATAATATTATATGTGAGTGTTAGTTACATGTAATTGGAATTGATTTCTAGTTTAAAGAAACAGTAGAGTTTTACTGGTCTGAACTCTGTTGAAAACCTTCGAGTTAATGGGTTTTTGTAGTTTCTGATTTCTATATTTATCTGAAATTCTAAAAGTGTTCTTCTTTAAAGTGGGTTAACTTTTATGTTTATATAATGAAACTTACAATGTCTTTTATTCTCTTTTCAGCTGTTGAAACCTATTTCAGGGAAGTTGAGGGCCCAGTGGGCGATGGGCATCGTCCAGGCAGAAGCAGCTGCGAGCATGTCAGTAGAGGAGAGGAAAGCCAAGTTCACCTTCCTTTACGTGGGGGACCAGCTCCATCTCAACCCCCACGTGGCCAGGGAGGCAGGCGTTGCTGTGGAGTCTCTGGGAGAGACGGTGGTAGGGTCCTCAGGAGCCAGGGAAGAAGCTGCCGACAGCCCGAAGTCCACGAGGGAAGAGGGCGTTCCTGTCAAGAGGAGACGGGGAGCCCAGCTGTGCTGCTCTGCTGAGAGCCAGGGCAGTGGCCCGGGGACGGTCCAGCACACTCCCCAGAAGGTGGCGGAGGCCGAGCCCAAGCGAGGAGTGGGGTCTCCTCCGGGGAGGAAGAAGGCCGTGGCCTCCACTCCGAGAAGCAGGAAGGGCGACGCGGCCTCCCAGTTTCTGGTCTTCTGTCAAAAGCACAGGGACGAGGTCGGTGTTGTGATGGCTTCTAAGTTGCTGTGTTTTCATTCTGGGGAGTTTCTGCATTTGAGGGACATCCCTTGCAGTGCAGGATCACCTGTTTCTCAGCGTTATCCGCACAGTCTGTAGCGAGCCTTCTGTAGATTGTAGATCTAATGAGCAAGTGTCGTTAGGGAGCGGCCATCTTCACTCTTGGAAGCAACGGGTTATGAAAACACTCGCACAGGGACCGCGGGAGGCGGGCTGCTCGTTGCCGGAAGCTCGGCCTCGTCCTGGGCGTCTGGTTCTGGGCTAGCGTCTTCTCCAGGAGGTGGTTACAGGACCTCATTGCAGCCACTGGCACCACGGCGTCTGAAGGGCAGTACTGTGTCAATGACGAAAACATTTGACTAGTGTTCTTAATCATCGTTATAGAATAAACCGTCTCTTTGGACGTGGTCCGGGCTTGATTCCATCGTAAGGAACTAAAGGGATTAGGCTGCCATCTTTGGTTCTTTACTGTTACTTGAAGTGAGCGGGTTGGTGGGACTTTTCTCAGGAATGTAAGGCAGGTGTAATGTTAGAAAATCTGTTACTGTGATTTGCTGTCACACAATAAATGATCATCTCAGTAGGTGGAGAAAAGGCATTTGGTAAAAGTCATTGCTTTCTCTGCCATGCCTCGCAACTTGTGGGATCTTAGTTCCGCAACCAGGGATTGAACCTGGTCCGTTGGCAGTGAGAGTGCAGAGTCCTAACCACTGGACCACCAGGGAATTCTCCAGAAGTCATTGTTTGTTTGTTTGTTTTCATTTATTTATTTTTGGCTGCACTGGGTCTTTGTTGCTGCGCGCGGGCTCTCTCCAGTTGGGGCGAGCGGGGGCTACCCTTCGTTGCGGTGCACGTGCTTCTCGTTGCGGTGGCTTCTCCTGTTGCGGAGCACAGGCTCTAGAGCGCGGGCTCAGTAGTTGTGGCGCACGGGCTTAGTTGCTCCGTGGCATGTGCGATCTTCCCGGACCAGGGCTCGAACCCCTGTCCCCTGCATTGGCAGGCGGATTCTTAACCAGTGTGCCACCAGGGAAGTTCCAAGTCATTGCTTTTTGATACACACACAGCAAGCCAGGATTAGAAGGGAACTTCCTTTAATCTGCTGAAGGGTGATTATCAGAAACTTTAAGCATCCCACGTATGGAAGGAACTGTAGAAACATTCTCTCTCTAATCATGAACAAGGCAGGATACCCTTCCGTCACCACTGACATTAGATGTTGTAGTGAAAGTACTGGCAGTACAGTAAGAGGAGAAAAAAATAGAGAGGCCTGACTGTAAAGGAGGTGGTCCATGTGGAGGCTCAAGGGAGTGTACAGGAGACCTTGAGACTCGGGAAGAGTTCCCAGCACCGGGAGAGATGAGAGCAACACACAGAGGGGAAGTGGAACGCCAAAAATGTGGTGTCTGTGATAGAAACAAAATAAGGTACCAAGGGATAAATATGACAAAATACGTCTAACTTTGGAGAAAAATGGCTGGTATTTTAGCAGACCTGAACAGAGATAAATAGGAGGCACACGGTGTTCAGAACGGTGTTCTGGAGTCGGCGTTGTCATCTCTCCTCTCTTAGACTGTAAATCCAGTATCATCCTGGAGAACTCCCAAAAGGAATTTCTTTGCCTTTTTAATTAAGGAGATGCTAGCATAACCACGTTTGAAGAGAAGCTCAGCCGGAGGACTTGCCCTACACAGAGGAAGTTCTGTTGCTGAAAACTGCACAGAGCAGAGCCCAGAAGCAGACTCGCAAGTGTGTGGAGGCAGGTGGGAAAGGACTGCTGGCCGGCCGAGTGGGCCGGCTGCTCAGGACAGGCGCTGGGACCACACTGGTCAGGTCAGAACTCGGCCGCCACGGGAGAAGAGCCTTGTCTCTTTGTGGGGGAGGCTTTCTTAAGGCAGACTGATCATAAAGGAGCTGCGTTAAAATGAGATGAAAGCTCTATGTGCAGAGCTCAAGCGACCCTGAAGGACAGAGTGGAAAGGCTTTGAGAAGGACAGTTTACAGAAGAACCTGGATGGCCAGTGAGTGCGCAGAGAGAGGCTGCTGAGCCCGGGAACAGCAGGGAGCCACGTGTCACGGTCATAGTGAGGCGAGTGGACACAAGCCCAGCGCCTCTGTGGTCAAGGAGATGAAGCCACGGTGGGAATCCCCATGCAGGGCTGGCAGAGGATCATTCCTTACACCTAGTTTCAAGAGAAATTTGGCAATATCTAGTGAAATTGAAGATGCACATTCTCTTTTGTCTTGTAATTTCACCGCAAGGTATTTACCCTTGAGGAGTTTTGCCCTCGCGCCCAAGGAGGCAGCACAGTGTTCAGAACTGTAAGACGCTGTGGAGGGAATGACAGATGGTGGCACGTCCTGCCACGTAACTCTAGACTTACTGCACGTCCAGGAGGAAAGTTGCTGAAGGATGTGCAGATCCCGTCACCGAAAGTATGAAAAGTGCAACATACCCACTGTTTTGTTTGGCCTACCTGCCTACCTGCATCCACGCAGAGCCTCTGTCCAGGTGCTGACACCTGGTGGGGATCTGTGGGTGGGGACCAGCCGGAGCACGGAGCACTGTGCACTTACCGCGCCGGGCCTGCTGTGAGTGAGGTGCGAGCTGTAAGGTCAGGCTGTGCGACATCCGTGTTTGAAGCTGGACCCCCATCACGCCCGGGGAGGAGCCCTGCTCTCAGACGCCGGGAGCAGGGCGTGGCCGTGACAGCTCAGCACCGCCAGCCGGCCCCGCTCTCGGCCTCTTCCTGGTCCCTGCGTTATCTCCGCACAATCTCCACTCGTTTGAAAGTGTGAAAGAGAATTCAGACCACTTACCAAAGACCACCCTTTTTACTTTTGCGGAAGCAACTTGCTCTCCATCAACCCTTCCGGCACTGCGATACGTACCAAGAAGTTTATCACTGCGGGGATTGCTGATGAGCTGTACGCCAGAGGCAGCAGCGTGGGGCTGTGCTGTGCACCCAGACCCCCCGCAGCTCACAGCACAGCCTCTCTGCCTCTGAGCATCCCTCCAGAGCCCGTTCTGCACAGCTTTGCCATGGGCATCGTGCTCAGTGCAAACACCCACTGAAGGTGCACAGTTACAGTTCAGTTCTGCCGCCTCTCCCTGGTCTTTGTGAGGGATGAGCCCCGTGAGCCCTTCCCCTCCTGTCTGGGTGTGGGTGCTGGTGGGCTTTGATAATTCCGTGTTGTCAAAAAAGTGATGGCTACTAGATATTCTTTACCTGTTATTAACAAGTGTGTTTGTGCTGGCTCTGTAATGAGTAATTCTGGACTTGAATTGAGGAAGCTGCTCCCTGATTCCATCCTGTAGAATAATCTGGGTCTGTCTTTCTAGGGGTTTCTTTTTGGAGAGTGGTGGTGCGCCCAAGGATGGTTTCTGTTTGGTTGTTAATTGTTAATCAATGGCGAGCCCTTGAGGGACAGAGTGGGTGGAGCCTCCTTTTCTGGGGTCACTAGATAGAAGACTGTGACTGTCAAGGACATTTGGTTGCCCCTTGCCGCCTTTTTTTTGCTGCACATTTCCAGCTTTCTTCTTGCAAATGAAGAGCTTCTTGAAACGGGTTGAGCTCTTTGTTAACACGTTTTGATGGTCCGTCTTCGTCCAGCAGGCTTAGCTTGGACGTGCAGCTCCCTCTGCTCCTGAATGCCGCTCCAGGGGCTGGAGGTGGGGAGAGGCATGTGCTGGGAGACGGGTCCGTGGCCCGAGAGGAGCTGGCGGGGCTGGTGGACAGCTGCCAGCAGCCGTGCCGTGCCCGTGTGTGGTTTGCACACGATGAGGTGAGAGCGGCTGGGTGAAGCCTCCCGCGAGGGGAGAGAGTTTACTAAGGCACCAGTGTTGGCAGCACTTTTATCAGCAGATGTTTTTCGCCTCAGTTTCCGATTTCTGAAGCTTCTTCCCACTTTCTCTGACCCTGATGTTTACAGCTTCATTAGAGTTGCACCACTGTTTTAGGTCTCAGCTCTGCGTGAACATTTGTGTTAGGTGTCTGTTGCCGCATAACAGGTCACCGCAAAGCTTAGTGCCTTAAGAGAGCAACATGCATTGCTTATCTTGGTGTCTCTGGGTCGGGAGTTTGGGAGCAGCTCAGCTGGGTGGTGCTGCCTCAGGGTCTCTCATCAGGTTGCAGTTAGGGTGTCAGCTGGGGCTGCAGCCTCATCTGAAGGCCGGAGTGGGCCAGAGGCACCTTCCTGCAAGGTGCCGCTCTCCACTCGGAGGCCAGTCGTGCCCCCAGCAGGTGGTCACCGGGGGCAGGTGGAGGCCTTCTACGCCCTAGACTTGGAAGTCCTGTGTGGCCGTGTCTGCACCGTCCAGTGGCTCTGCCGGATGGCAGGAGGGAGGCCCGGGGACGGAGGCGAGGCTCGTGGGAGGCTCTCAGAAGACGTGTGAGGAGGCCGGGGGTGGGGCGAGCAACCTCTGAGGAGCCCACGGCGTCCTGGGTCGTGCTGGTGACATTTTAGCTGTGTGGGTTTGTGGGTATTTGGTTTTCCATATTTATTTTTCCCCAAGGAGTGGAAAGGCTTTAATGAACATTACAGAGGGACTGGGTGAGGAGGACACAAACCCCCAATCCAGCCTTTGTTGCCCATTTCAGCGGCTGAGGAGGAGGGAGGGGCTCCACCCTGCTTAGCTGTTCCCGGGCCCAGAGGCAGCTGGAGGGCGGTCCCTGCAAGTCTCCCCTCCCCGCGGAGGGGCTGAGTGCTGCCGGAGCGGGGAGGCCTGAGGCAGCCACCCGACCTCCAAGGTCAGGGGAGGCCCAGGACCAGGCAGGGGAGTCAGAGGTTGGAAGGGTAGATGGACTGAACAGGAGGAGCAGCTCTTGGGTCCCCAGACAGCATTGTCACAGAGGGGCCAGGGCCTGCTGGCTCCAGGGACCGAGACCCTCACAAAGGAACAGCCCCCCCTCCCCCTGATCAGCAATGGTCAGGAGAAGGTCTGAGGGACAAGAGAGGACAGGGGCCTGGGTGGGCAGAGGAGGAAGAGCTGCGGGCGTGGGCAGGGTGGGACCTGTGGCTCCTGCTGGCGATGAGGTTGGCGGTGGGGCGAGCGATGCTGCCTGTGGGGCTCCAGGACTCGTCGACACGGATGCGCCCATCGCAGTTGGGCGTTCACCTTCTGGGTGAGCTTGTGGGCAGCCTTGCGGCCCGCCGAGCCTGTCGGCCTGTGGTCGGGCTTTTTCTGAGGCATCTTCCGGGGGCTGCCCTTGCTCTCGGCCAGGCTGTGCTTGGACACCTACTGCGGAAGTGTCCACCAGGACAGCCGCCGCCTCGCCCAGCCACGCGCGGGCGTCTCACCGCCTCGCTCCACGCGGGGCCTGCTTCCCCCGACCCCCTTCTCACCTGCGGGTGCCGGGCCTGGGCTCAGGGCTGCCAGGCAGCTGTGCCCGCGCCAGCCGTGGTGACTGCTGCTTGTCCGTACTGTTGTGTGTCTCAAATGGTTTATCAGAAACACAGCAGTGGCCGTGGTGGAGCGCTCCACGTGTCGGAGACCTTGCCAGTACGCTGTTGTGAGGAACCGTTCGGCTCTCGTGACAGCACAGCGAGCCCTGTCTCCTGGCTGAGCGCGAGGAGGTGGAGCCACCCCTCCGCAGTGAAGGGACACAGGCTGGAGGCCGACCGGGACTCGGCCCCGACTGCGCCCGCGTGCAGAGCCCGTAACGGTTGTGCTGTGTGGCTTCCTTGTGAGACCCGTGCATTGGGGTGAGCGGTTGTGGCCCTCGTGGGCCCAGCAGAGGTGAGGGTGAAAACGCCTGGGCGCTCCCAGGAGGCGGGCACCGCGGGCCGGCCGCAGCTGTGGCTGGCGCATCTCCTGTCCTGGCCGAGCGCTGCTTGCATGGGTGCGAGCGGGCAGCGCCGGGCTGAGAGCTGAAAGGACGCCTGCAGCCGGCCTGCGGAGAGGGAGGTCTCCGGGCGCGTGGGCCCGTGCAGTCAGTGGGTCCAGCCTGCTGTGCGCCCAGCCTGCAGGGGGCCGTCCGGCGTGTGGCTCAGGCGCGCGGGTGCGGGCTGACGGGAGTGGGTGTACCTCTGCCTGGCTGGCGCGCAGCAGCAGGAGTCCCACCCACGGCGGCCTGGGCTGGGGGCCCTCTGGGATGGAGCGTCAGCAGTGAGCGGACAGGATGGAGAGCCAGGAAGGGTGGGCGGGCACAGGACGTGCAGGAGCAGAGCTGGCCAGCCTGGCACGGGCTTCAGGTGCGAGGGGAAGGGTGACCTCCGGGGCTTCGGAGTCCTGTTTGGGAAAGCAGCTGCGAGCACTTACATTACCTTTCATTCTGATCGGGGGATGCTGTGGCCTGGGGTGGGTGACAGCCCCGCAGTCACATGTGCTGTGCTCCAGGAGTCTTGGATCTGCAGCTCTGCACGGAAGCCTTTGCCGCGAGGGTCTCAGATCCTTGATGCTGGAAGTGTTGGGGGCCGGGGGTGGGGTGGCAGGCAGGCTGGGCGGGAGGGGAGGTTGCCCCAAGTTGAGAGGAGGGAGCAGGCGTGTGTGGGGCTGGAGACACCCTGGCAGGCACAGGATGGGAACAGGGACGCCCGGAGGAGCGCAGGAGCCGGAGCCGGGCTTTGACGTGCAGAGTTGCTGGGGTGCTGGTGTCCGGCAGAGCCAAGGTGGGCGTGTTGAGGCGCGGGGACCCTGGAGGCCGTAGGAAGCCATCTGTGGGGTGGAGTTGTGGATTGGGGCTTGCGTTTTGGGGCAGAGGTTGCCGTGTTGGCTGGGCAAGTAGTAGGTCCAGGTGGTGACAGCAACCAACCCACTGATGAAGTGTCACAGTGAGTCCATCACAGAGGGCAGTGGAGACACACCTTCCCTTACCCAAGTTACTTCTCAGAGCTGTGGCGGACGAGCCACATTGAACCTGGGGTCTGGCTCCCAAGCCAGCAGCCAGTGCTCGGACGCAGTCGGCAGAGCTTTCTTGGAAGGGCCTGGGGCACAGAGGTCTCTGTTGCACTTCCTCGGCTCTGCTGTCGTAGCCTGAAAACAGCCACGGAGGACTTGGGAGTTCATGCCCGTGGCCGAGTTCAGAGAAGATTTTACTGTGGGCACTGATGCTCAAATTTCCTCTAATTATCACATGCTATGAAATAGTTCTTCTCGGATTTTTTTTTTTTTTTTTTTGCCACGCCGTTTGGCTTGTGGGATCTTAGTTCCCTGACCAGGGATTGAACCCGCGCCCTCAGCAGTGAAAGCGCTGAGTCCTAACCATTGGACCATCAGGGGATTCCCCGATTTTTTTCAACATTTAAAAATGTTAACTCGGGTTTCCCTGGTGGTGCAGCGGTTGAGAGTCCGCCTGCCGCTGCAGGGGATGCGGGTTCGTGCCCTGGTCCGGGAAGATCCCACGTGCCGCGGAGCGGCTGAGCCCGTGAGCCATGGCCGCTGAGTCTGCGCGTCCGGAGCCTGTGCTCCGCAACGGGAGAGGCCGCGACAGCGAGAGGCCCGCGGACCGCAAAAAAAAAAAAAAAAAAAAAAAGTGTTAACTCAATTCTTAGTTCATAGGCCATATGAAAACAGGAAGGTGGGTCAGATCTGCTCTGTGGCTGCGGTTTATGGACCTCGCACCCTGCTATTGGTGGTCCTCAACGTCGGGGCACATTAGAACCCGTGGGAAACCTTTAAAATAGCAGAACCGGGCCGGCTGGGTTGGAGCAGCCTTGGCAGGGACCTGAGCACCATTGTTTTACACCCTTCCCCCCTCCCCCCGCCCCCCGATTATCACAGTGCACAGCCCGGACCCACTCCTCACAACCCAGTGACAGGGCTCTTCTGGAGACCTTGTGAAGATGCGCGTCCCTGGGGTGGGGCCTGAGGATCTGCATTTCCCGTGTGCTGCAGGCCGGGGAGCTCTGTGTCCCGGCTGTGAGGAGTGGCTGTCTCAGGGCGCAGCGGGGCGGGGCTCCTCGGCCACGTCTACGCCCTCCCGAGCGCGGACCCGAAAGGAGGAGGGTTGGTGCTACAGCCGGCGAGAAAACTAGCCAAGGGCTCGCCTCTGCACCCAGAGGTGGTGTTTCCTCCTGCTGGCTACTCAAGGCTGCCTAGGAAATTGCAAGTTACCAGCAGTTTAGCGATTTTGGAAAAGTGTACTTTTTCTCTTATCACTTATCATTTCCTGCATTTACACAAATACAGCTGGAATTGTTTCCACCAGCGCAGTTTTCAATGAGTTAAAACATCAGTTAAACACTGCTTCTCGTTTGAAGCCTTTATGGGACGTAGTTCCATGACGTGGGAGTGAGAGCACCACGTGCTGAGTAGCCAGGGGCCGTGCGCCGCGTTGTGTGAGTTCGGGCGTCCAGCCTTCCTATCGCACCTTTCCTGTGTCCACAGGTTGTCGCTGAGCACCCGGACGCCTCTGCCGAGGAGATCGAAGAGCTGCTTGGATCCCAGTGGAACATGCTCACCGAGAAGCAGAAAGCGCGCTATCACACCAAGTTTGCCCTCGCGGCCCCGCCCCCGCCTGAAGAAGACTCCGGTAACCGTAGCACTGTGCTCACGTCCTCTGCGCAGCCGTGGTGTGTGCTGCACGGCGGCCTGCGCTCCGGCTCTGGCCCGAGTGCAGCGGCCCCAGCAGAGCAGCCTCTGCTGCCTGGTCTCCTTGCTCGCTGTCGCCTGAGCTGTCCCGTGGGATCCTCTGTGGCCCTGCGGGCCCCTCGCTCTCCTGCCCCTGCAGCCCGTGTGGGAGGTGTGGTGAGGGAGCAGAAGCGAGGCACGGAGTCCAGGCGGCTTCCAGGCTGAGGCTCGCGTGACGGGCCGGGCTCAGACCTCAGGCCTTTGTCCGGCAGCGAGGCTGCCGTCCCGGCGGGGGCTGCGCCTGCACCTCGTGGGGGGCTTCCCACCGTTTGTGGCCTGTTGGCCTGAGAGCTCGCAGGGTGAGGAGGGTGACCGTGGACTGACGTTGAATGTGGGTAGCCTCTGGTTCCTCTTAGGCCTTCAGGGCGAAAAAACAAAAAGTGCCTCTCTGCCCTGGGCTGTGGTAAGAGAAGGGAGGCTTAATGCTGTGAGCTCTGGGGAAGACAGGTCACCACGGTTGGGTGTGTCCTCCCTGCCTGTGGGAAACTGACACCTGTAACGGGAAGATAAGTGTGATGTGTTTGGGTATACAAAAGAATTCTGCATCTCTCAAGGCTCGTCATTGAAGAGTTGTGCAGAGGCCTCCAGACCCGCCTGACAGGGTGCTTCGTGGGCGCGAGCTTCGTGGGCACAAGCTCGGTCAGCACCGAGGTGGCCCACATCCGTGTTGCCTTCCTGTTCTGTTCACGCGTGTCCCATCTTGATTTTAGGGCTTTCTCGAGCTCCACAGCAACCACCTAATGACATCAGTAGTGAACTTCACTCAAATTGTTCAGGGTTTGTTGCGAATACTACAGTTTAGAATAGGGAGGATGTTTAGGATTTGTGTATTTTCTTTAAAAGGCAAAAAGTTCACCAGACTCTTCATCAGTACGCTAAATCTAGAAAAGTGTCCTTTTCAGTGACTGCTGGTTTAAGAATAGTCAGGTTTTACTGAAGCCAGATTCACCTTATCCCTGAAGAGTGAGTATGACTTGATGGTGTGTCCCGCTTTGTCACCATCCTGAGTACTTGGCAGACAGGAGCATGGGTGGTCCCTGCCCGCAGTGTGTGTAAGGTGTGTGTTTGCTCTGCAGGCCTTGAGCCCTCCCTCTCAGGGACCCCAAGATGATGGGCCAGGCCATGGTGTCAGCTGTCCCATCCTTTCAGTGTTAGGGATTCAGACAGATGCCCATCTTGCTCATCTCTGTAAGAAACGACCACGGCCTCATCCCGGCACAGGGGCAGGTCCTTACGTAGAGGGCGAGGGACTGCAACTTCACCTCCCCCGGGGGCTGTACCTAGTGCACACGTGCCGAGGAGGTGCTGGCTGGCCCGTGGATCCACAGCCACCGCTCCACAGGCCTCTCCTGGTGTTCCCCTGAGGCCGGCCCAGAGCTTAGTGAAGGCCACTCTCAGGCCGGCTTATGCCAGTCTGGGATCAGCAGCTGGTGAGGCCAGCGCTCCGGTTCTGCTCTTCTCTTGCAATGTTGGGCCTGGACCTGAGGCGGAGCCCCGGGCCCGTATCAGCCCAGGGCTGCTGGACGCAGGGACCTGAGCCTCCTGGCGGGTGTGCTCCGCCCCCCTCCGTAGGGTTTGAGGACAACACTGCCCTCCCAGGAGATGTTTGGTGAACAGTCCAGGAGCAAACCCTGAACCTCTGTAAAGCAGTCCTGCAAATGGAGACACTGGATTTGTGTTAAATAAACCTTGGCGTGTTCAAATTAGTTCTCTCTCTAGAATCTGCATTCTTACTTTACGTCTTGTTTTTCTGTCAGTACTGTTCGGACACCTTAAGTCTCAGATTAGGTGGTCTCCCTGAGGACACCTAACATGTGGCACAGTTAAGCAAGCGTGTAGAAGGCGCTTAGTCTGCAGATACACATGGATTGTTTCACTTAAGATGCTTCTTTAAGGAAATGTGTTAACGGATTTTGTAAAAATACTGGGTCATGTTTAGATTTAATGCTATAGTACATTAAAGTGTAACAGATACCAATGTAATAATCCCTAGATGAGATAAGGATTTTCTACTTGCCATTTGGAAAGTGCAGAGAGATTTGACCTGTGGTACTTAGGCCCTGAGGAAATGAACAGGGTTTCAGGAGGCCCATCACTGCTGGATCTACACGCTGAAGGCGCTGGGCAGCTGCTCAGTGCTCTAGAGGACAGCTTGTGGAGGGTTTTTCATGTAAGTTTCCCCCATCCCCATTCCAAGGTAACTTAAATGGGAAAAAAAGAAACCACACGAAGAGGACACAGGACCCTATAGAAGATGCTGAAGTTGAGGACGCTCCCAGGAAGAGACTCAGGACCGACAGGCACAGTCTTCGGAAGGTAATTACGTCCTGGGTGGGCCTGGCTGCAGGAACCAGTTCCCCCGGGCCACAGGCGGGATGCGGGGAGGCGTCCTCTGCCGGCGTCAGCTGGAGGCCGGGGCTGGCTTTCCCCTTGGAGCTCCTTCGAGAAGGCCGCTGAGGAGAGCGAGTTTTTATCTGCCAGGGAATTTAACACATCCCAACACTGAATAATTCTTGGTGTTCAGATTCAACAAAACTGTATACTTAAAATGACTCTTGAATGTAGGGCATATTATTCAGTGTGTAAATAGTGAGTTGACAGGAGAACATCAAAATCCACTGTATGTTACTCTTCATAAGAAGTTTAAAAACCCATTAAAGGCATTGAAATAGGTTTTATGAACTCATTCCATTTATCAGTAATTCATATTATTATTTACTTAATGTGAATACTAAGCAGGCTGTGTAGGCCTCTTTGATACAACAAAAAAGTATTGATGTAAAGGCCCAGCTTTTGTAAAGGCAGCCACAGGACCTCACAGCTCTAGCCGGTGCCAGCCAGTGTCGAGGGGCAGAGCTTGCCTGGTACCTGGAGGAGCATGAAACTGACCAAGGGTCAGACCTTCAGAGGACCTGTATTGTTGTGTCTGGCATGCGTGCTCGTGCGTGTAGAGAACGTGGGCTCTGCCAGTGCGCTCTGCGATTTGGACGCCCGGTTAACCTGTTCGTGAACTGAGAGGTTAGACTTTGTACCTTACATTTGAGTTTATGTTTATTTAATAGTAGTTCTGGCAGTGTAGCTGTACTCTGATTTATGATTTTGATTATAACTTCAAACTCTTCCCTTTTTTTTTTGGCTGCACCGTGCGGCTTGTGGGATCCTAGTTTCCCCAACCAGGGATCAAACCCGGGCCCTTGGCAGTGAGAGTGTGGAGTCCTAACTACTCGACAGCCAGGGAATTCCCCGAACTGTCTTTTACTGGTCTAAATTGAGAAGTTATTTTTATTGTTTGATTTCAAAGAATGGAAAATAAATCTCACATATTGCTCAAGCATAAATATGTGGCCATCACGTCATCTGTCTTATTTCTTTAAAGGTATATTTGCAGTTCAGGAGAGCAGGCAGGCCCTGCCCCATTTTCATGGACAGGAGAGCACTCTCCAGGGGCACCTGTCAGGTGTCCAGCAATGAGCTAGGTAATGAGCTAGGTAACACTGAGTGTGCAGTTACCTGGGAGCACATATTCAGTTTCTCCTCTGGCCGCCTGCCGTTCAGGTGGTCCTTTACTGGCAGTCACGCTGACACTGGCTGCTTTGAAATATTTGTATAAAGGATTTACCTAAAAAAAAAGAAAATGTGTGTGACCCTGGACATTTGAAATATCAAAATTCACATTAAGTAGCTAGACAGAAATTTTACTAACTAGTAGCTCAGGAAATAGCAGATGATTTTTAAAGGGAGTAGTGTTTAGTTTGATTTTTATAAACCTAAGTTTATAAGCCATATCAGGTATAATTCCTAATATGCTTTGAGCACTTGGATGGGCCAGGTAGCATTCCCAGTGCTGGGCACCTGTTACTTTGTCCCCAGTCTTGTGACCCATCCCTGCTGGAGTCCGGGGCAAACTTGGCCTCTTGGGCGGCAGGGTGGCTGTGAGGCAGTGGTGCCCCAGTGCTGTCCAGACTACATTATTTGAATTCTGAGCGCTAGACCAATCTTCATGATATTTTTGTGTGTGTGCTATTTTTCTGTTGTGAAATGTGCTTTCGGATGATCTTCGTTTGTGAGCTTTGTCTGGGGCTTATCTCAGGATTGGAAATGGTGCGCCTGGTGGGCTGGAGCGAACCGGGCGCGCTTCTCGTGGGCTGGGCTCCGCTAGGGCAGAAGTAAGTGGTGCTCCCTCCGGTTCGCTGCACTCTGAACCCAGAGGACGGTTGGTAGCATGTCGAGGAGCCTCGTTCGAGGTTCTCAGAGTGGCTGGTTAGGTCAGGGTTCTCCTGGCCCCTGCCCCTCCCTCCCAGCAGCTGTCAGAGTGGGGCGGGTGGGCAGGGGAGGATCGGCCCAGTGACGGAGAGGGTGTCAGCTGGGCGGCCACTGCCGCTGACCGTCTGTGCAGATCACGCCTCCGCAGGAAGACGTTTCTGTCACACGGCTTTTCAGCAGCCTGTGTTCGTTCACATTGGAGACTTTTCCCCTTTCTTTCCTTTTTCTTTTTCTTTTTCTTTGTTCTCCCTTCCTTCTTTCCTCCCTCCGCCCCCCTCACCCCCCTTTTTATAACAGAGAGAGACGTTCACAGACAAAACATCCCGCACAGGCTCTTGCAAGGCCATCGAGGCAGCCTCCTCGCTCAAGAGCCAGGCAGGTAATGTGGGCGGCGCTCCTTCCAGGTCCCCTGGGCTGGCGGTGGGCGGCCGGCCTGGTCCTGTCCTCGGGGACCGCCCCCTGGGGGGGGTGGAGCCAGGGATGAGCGTGTGAGCAGGAAGCTGGGACCTAGAGGGCGCGGTGGGGAGGAGGTTCTCATGCGGTTAAAGGTGAACTGCTTTAGTGTGAAGTTGTTTTCATGGCCAGCAAGTGTGGTTGAAGTCACTCTTCTGCTGACTTCTACTTGGCTTTATTGTTTTCAGTTTAAATTATATTAGAGGAGTGATACGAATCAGAAATGTCCAGGTTTCTGACTTGATGGTACCAGTTGTTGCTGTAAATTCCACTGTTTTTAGTACCCAATTCTCCATGTATATTAGCTAAAAAGTAAAAGTAATGACTGGTTATTTCTGTTCTACACGTTGAAGAAACTAGCTTAAAATGTTCGTGAAAAATAACTGTCAAAACAGTGAAGGGGGAATCAGGTCACTTTTTACCTTCTCATTATCTTTTTGATGCATCTGTCTGGTGGTTCACTAAAGAAAGCTTTACCATCTCCAAATCGTAGTAAGAAAGGAAAATAAAATCCAGAGCAAGTGACGATTGGAAATGGCTCTGTTTCCCTTCTTTTGCATAAAGAGCTGTACTGGTTTTTAAAAATGAATTGAACAGACTGTTGTAAAAAAGCATTTGTGAACGATGTGAACACTGAGTGGACATTTGATGATAGAAAAGGGTTGTTACTTCTAAGTGTGATGGTGCTGTTGTGGCCGCATTCAAACCTTACGTGCAGAGGTGCTCTAGCTTCCCACGGGTAAAACGACATGTCTGGGATTTGCTGCAGAAGAACCGGCAGGGGGACGTGGCACCAGGCGTGGGTGGACTGGTGTGGCCCAGGCATGGGTGGACTGGTGTGGCCCAGGCGGGGCTTTGGGGGCCGGGCAGGGGGGCGTGGCACCAGGCGTGGGTGGACTGGTGTGGCCCAGGCGGGGCTTTGGGGGCCGGGCAGGGGGACGTGGGAGTTCACTGTCCAGCTCATCAGCCCTGATTTTTCCACAACAAAAAGTTAAGCCCAGAAAAATCCATCTTCAGAAACTTCATTTATTAGCGGGGTACTTTTAAAGCAGGAAAGAGATTGAGGGTTTAAGGTTTCAAACTTTACTTTATAAACCAAATTATCTTACAGCCACAAAACACCTGTCTGACGCCTGCAAACCCCTGAAGAAGCGGCACCGGGTCCCCGCAGCGGCGTCTGCGTCGCTCGCCTTTAGCAAAAGCTCCTCTCCTTCTGCATCCTTAACTGAGAATGAGGTAAAATCATAATAATAGTGATCATCACGCACTCACACGGAGGCCGTTTAGTTACCCACATTGAAGTGTGATAAAGGTCAGACTTAATCAGCGTGACACGGGTATTCTCCACAGACACAGGGAGGTTAGGTGCTCTGAGCTGTGGCTGTCTCAGAGAGGAACACACACGCACACGGTGTATATGCGTAAATGTCCGTGGCTGTACTTCAGTATTGATGCTTTTAATTGTGCTTGAAATCTGTCTTCAAGATGTTGGTTCTGTGATTTTTCACCTGGTCCTAACCTGACAGCGTCAGCGGGGCTGCCCGCGGGGCTGGCGTGCTCACGCAGCGGGATGGCGGGGCCCGCACGCTGTGCACGTGCCTTGTGCATTCCATGACTTTGGGTCCACAGCTTTGGTCCTTTAAATTCTGGCATGTTTTTAGGTCCCCGAGTGTCGAGGTGAGTCAGGACTGCCGTGGTAATGTGACTTCTCTTTTCTGGACTCGGAAAGTGTCCGCTAGTGAAATTGTAGCTGTTTGAGGCTCTCACACATCACTGTATCATGACATCTAGAGCATCAAATCTGAAGTCTTTGCCGTTAATAAAAACAAAATGAAAAACAGCCTCAGAATGTAGGTATGACCCTTTTTTGTCCAGAGGGAGTCTGGGATTCCCAGCTTTAGAGACTACCCAAGGAGCTTATTGTCGAGTCTTAATTTCTTGTTATTTTGTTCCCTGTGATTCTTTTTCTCATTGTAGACGTGAGTCCTGTTTTTAGACTATCTGTGAAGAGATGCTCACCTTGGGCTTTTTCGGAACAGGGCAGTGAGGCAGGGAGTGGGTCAGAAGGGGGCACTTCTGATGTGGTCTCCACTGTGGTCCGTGGTGGGGACGGGGTGTCCCCTGCTCTCTCAGCATCAGGTGCTTATGCCCATTAGTGGGGGCCGGGCCTTCGGGGGTGGGCATCTGCTCTCGCAGGCGTGCAGGGGCCTCGGGGCGGTGTGGGGTGGTGCTCTCGGCCAGTCTTAGTGGGTGTAGGTAACTGAACATTTGGGCACGGTCAAGACAACGCAGGAAGAATCCTTCGCTGAGCTCCTGGGAGCTTACTGAGACATGAAAAGGCAAATTCTATACGAAACATTTTTCCTGTTTTTCTTGTCCAAGTTCAGATTAGTATCCTAAAAAGTTAAATAAAAGGTGGTCTGCAGTTCTAAAGAGGAACACTAAAAGTTTCAGTTCCATAGACCCTTTCACTTAAGGCAGTTTGTTTAAAACACTTTTTAATGAGTTTTGCTAGCATCATATTTTGGCCCACTTATTTGGTGGAGTTTTTACTTCCACTGCTGTCAGATACCATCAGAAGAAAAACACTGAGGCCGCTGAGATCTTGTCTGTTGTTCCTGGTCATGAGTCGTGTGGGCTAGAGGCGTGGATCTAGAGCAGCTCACCGCGGGGCCAGGATGGCGGGTAGAGGGTGAAACATGTTTGTCAGACACACCTGACGGGCTGACATTGGTTTTGACCAGGATGAGTTTCATCTTCCTGGCTTAGACATTTGTTCTGAACTTGGGAAGACTTAGATGGAGCATTTTACAATCATTAGGCTTAATTGATTTTTACTTCTTTAGAACTTCAGAAATAGATTATTAAATACATTTATATTATATATTAAATACATTACAATCATACACCATTTTGCATTTTGAAGGTGATACATAGATTCCATAGTGTGCATTCTGTTCCTTACATAAAAAACGTTTAAATTGCTAGCCTTTTTCTATCAGGCCACTTTTGTGCAGTTTATATAAATCTCACATTAGAGTTCATTTTTATTAAAATCGCTTTAGGTGAACAAGAAGGCTTGTCTGTTTATGTGTTAACACTACTGAACTACAGTGCACATTTACGACGTCTGCCAGGCTAAGTGCCTTTTAGCGCGAGAGACAAAGCGCAGTGTTATAAAGAAACATTCTAGAAGCCGCTAGATCCGGTTCTGGTGGGCACTGGGCGACCATGGGGCTACTGTTTGCAGGGCTCAGACTGGCCCCTTATTCGGGGTGAGTCACATGCCCTTTGCATGTTTATATTCTCTCCTTTCAATACCATTGATTAAAATAAGGAATTTTCATAGGGTTGGTGTTTCAAGACATTTTAGGTCATGTTGTGGTCTCAATTCCTCTCAAACAAGGTATATGTGATCAATGAAACCTTACATTAGAATCGTTATTCTGTAGTAGTGCTGCATCCCCTAAAGAGGAGGACAGATTAAAATCACACACTTGCATGACGAAGGCCTGGGAAGTAATTAATGTGATTTAAGTGTTTTGTAATTTCATTTCTTATTCCCTTAGTAGAGCAAATTCTTATTTTTTTCGCCTTTACTGGTAACAGCTTTTATGGGAGCCCACATCAGCCAAGTTGGATTTGAACTCAGCTGCTCTGTACTGCACTTAAAATGATGTAATTTTCCAAGATGTCTGCTGCAGGCGGCGTGTCATCGTGCACACTCAGTGGCATTCCTTTCACAATCAGTTATGGAAGATGTGTGATAATCTGTTTTTACTGGTATTAATAACACATACAATGAAGAAAACAGATAACAAATTTTAAGACCAAGGTAAGATACCTAATCAAGGCCATTTAACCAATCACATTCATCTCATAACAGAAACACATTCATATTCCAGTGGTCAATGTAGATTTCAAGTTGAAAGGATGCCCTCCATCAGGGGCTGTCCTGGCGTGTGACAAGGACAGCACACTGAAGAGGTTCATCCTGTTAGAGGTCGTTTTTCTCCTCTAGTTCATAACTTAACTGAATTTTTATTGAAAAAAAATGTCAGCACCTGTACCTTCAAAAACGAACAAACAGCACACATTAAAAAGAGTCCTCGTCGACTGTTCTCATTGCTAATGGAATGTATTCAATCCTGTAGATAGTAAACTAATTTCCAACATAAAAGGCAGGAAGACTTTTGATTCTGTCTTTTTTTACTAAACAGTTTTACTATGACACTAGCTATAGTAAATTTGTAGGAAAAAAATGTCATTTACAGTATCATTGTGAACCATTTAACTCTTTTGATTCAATAACCCTTATCTAGGGGGGGGTCCTATAATCAGGTTATTTACACCAACCTCTTCATTGGTTGCTTTTGTAGAACATGAGCCATTATATTAAATGTCTCAATCTTGGGTGACCACCTGGTGTGCCCCAGGGTGTCCGCATGTTTGCATGGTGAGGAAAGGCCTCCATGCCCTTCAGGTCATAGAGGCGGGAGGGCTCTTCACGCTACCAGGCCGGTAGCGCTCGGTTCATTCCGAGTGGGCTCTTCAGGTGTGTTTTCCCTTTAATGAGAGTTTCTCACTAATACTTGTGTTCTAAACCATTAAGTAGTGTAACGCATGTAAAACACTTGGGGTGCCTGGCGCCTTGCAAGGACTTAGTGGTTCGCTATTGTGACAATAATGGTTATAACAATAAAAATAATAAAATCACCATCATTCCATTTTTATCCAAAAGTATAAATTTTGCTTCGGCATGAAAAGCAATCCTCTTGACTGCACTGTGCGCGTGGGGATAAAGTAACCCTAGAAGCGGCACACGCTGGGCTTGACTGACGCTTCCGGGTACTGGACTGTGGCTGGGGGCGCGACTCTGCTCAGACTCCGTGGACACGGGGCCTCCAGGACGGCCTCAGTCACGCTGTCCCTGAGGGGCGTGGAGGAGCTCGGGACTGATGAGGGGTCTCAGAGCACCAGTCACTAAATTTTAAAATGTGGAAAAACGGTGGTGTAAAAATGACCCTAGTTCAAGAAGCCATTACCCAAAGTAAAGACTCGAGCCTGGAAGGCCTTTGACAGTCAGGATTAAGAGACTTGTTTGAAATTATGGCATGATGGATTTTGAGTTGGTAGCCAGCCAGCCAGCGACCGACACGTGATGGGTGCGTTAGGAGCCAGCAGAGAAAGGGGCGCCTTCCTTTTTGATGGGGATGACTCGATGCTGTGTCCACAGGAGCAGCGTAGACTTAGCCTCAGCTGAGTAAATAGGGGTGCGTGCAGGAGAGGGGGAGGGGGCGACGCAGTGTGTCTCAGCGCTGGGGG